GAGAACCAACTCCCCAAAGTTATCCTCTGACCTCCATACGTGCACTGTGGCACCCTCACCCCCGACACATACACATACACATACACACTATAGTACACACAATAAGTAATAATTAAAACAGCCTTAGAGAAAGATGGAGGAATGACTATGAAAAAAATTAAATTATTCCAGTAACAAAACTATTTACTATAGCTGAGTATAAGTAAACATACCTGTAATCCCAGAATTCAGGAGCTGAAGCAGGAATATTTTGAGTTTGAGCCAGAAACAGTCTGAGTGAAGCCCTGTCTCAAAAACAAACAGATTGACAGAGAAAAAACTATTTCCTAGGTTACATTTGAACTAAAGCACTAGTATTGAAAAATTTCTCATCTACTTTGTGAAGAGACTTAAATTTTTAAAATATTAATACTCATTTTACAAAAAAGTGATGCTGCTTTATCCATTGTTTTCAAAATGAAGTGAGTTTGGAAGGGTTTTTTTTTTTGAGACAGGGCCCTCCCGAGTGCTGGGATTAAAGGCGTGCACCACCATGCCTGGCTTGGAAGTTTTTTTTAAGATTTATTTTTATTTATGTGTATATGCTGATACGAGTTTATGAGCATCTTGTAATGTGCAGGTGCCTACAAAGGCCAGAAGAGGGCGCTGGTTCTTCTGGAACTGGAGTTGTAAGAGGTGATGAGCCACCTGATGTGGGTTCCGGGAACTGAACTTGAGTCTTCTGCAAGAGCGGTAAATGCTCTTAATTGCTAAGCCAGCTTTCCAGCCTGAGTTTGGATTTTTTTTTTTTTTGAAGTTTTATTCCTATGTAAGACTTGAACTAATTGTTGCTTATATTCAGCTTGTTGACAGCCATTGACACCCAAACGGGGATGGACACTAGGCAGTAAGGCCTGCTGGAGGTAGAGAGGGCTACCACATCTTCCCAGTTCTCCCAAAGGCCTACTCTGAGAAGCAGGAAGACACAATGTAGTTAGGAATTTGACTTTGGACTCAGGTAAAACTGGAATTTAATCCATTCTGCCACTTACCAACAATCTGACTAAGGGAAAGAAAGAATTCACCTGCATAGGCCTGCTTTGTCATATGTAAGCTGAATCATTACTGGGGGGGATGTACACAGACAACTAAGAATTCACAGAATTTCTGAAAAGTGCTCAGCAAAGTGTAGACATCAGGTGCTGGGGAGTACCAGGAAGTAAATGGCCGTAGCAGAGTCTTTGCAGTGGGTAGCCTTCTGGCATGGTCTCAAAGAAAAGGTCACTGTCATACGTCTGATGACACAGGTCCCATACACTGTCATCTAGAGGTGGGATGGAGAAAGTATTTCACACAAGAGCTCTTGTATCCTCAGCACAGGCCCAGCAATGGTACCAGGGGCAAAGGCAGGTGAGGAGACTTTATATGATGTCCCCAAGAGCACACAGCCAGGAAGAAGCAAGAGAAAAGAGCAGGTTCTCCCAAGACCCTGGTCTTAGTCAAGGACAGGAAGCCAATCATAGTGCATTCTAGGGTCTCTATGTAGCTCTCTGTGAGAGGGGCCTAGGCCCTGGCCCATCAAAACACAGTGTTCAAGGAGGGAAGAAAGCTATGTCCAAGATGCAGGGGAAAATCTCATTCCCCAACCCAGGAACCAGATGGTCACATTTTGTCTCCAAAGAAGGTACAGAGCATCCCTATCCTATTCTCTATTCTCCAGAAATACTGGGATCATTACAGTGGAGGGGTTTCTCTTTGGCATTTAGGGGCTTACAAAATAGAAGTGTAGCTTTAGGGAAGACACTTGCTGCCTTCCCGCCACTGTGGCCACAAGAACATGGCGGACTGGCAGACAGGCAATATTGGCAGCTGACCAGTGAGAGGTTAAACCCGGGATCCTGAGGGCTCTTCCCATGCTGGTTCCCCGCGATGCTTTACGATGCCTATTTTAGGGTTCCCTCACGAGTCTTGTGGTGTGGTCTGTGGTGTGGATAGTGGTGCGTTGGCGGCACCACTGGTAGGGCTGCTCTTCTGGAAGGTGCTCAGGCCTCATTCGTGTGTCCTGTACTCAAAACACGCAGGACGGCAACCAATACAAAACTTAAAAAATTTAAAATTCTACAATTGGTACTCAGGGACGTGGGTTACCCCTCCTCACCCTCAGCCACACTTCTGCTTGGGGCTGTGCCACTTACAAACTGTGGCTTGGGTAAAGCACTGTCTCCCTGGGCACGTTCCTTTATATAACAGGACTGACAAGGGGGCTGCGGTGAGGGTTGTGTGGGCAGGAGCGCTGCGGTTTCCCAAGGGGCGGACTCCGTTCCTCTGACCCCTGAGAGGCCCCAGCAGAGCAAAAGTGTAGGACAAAGAATCCAGCAGTGGTGACTGAAGCAGAGCAGTTCGGCCCTCCACCCCAGACCCCACAGGACGCCCTGAAGTTCATCTGCGTGCGTTCACAGCAGACCCCACAACTGCTGGCCTAACCAGTACCTAGCCAGCCACGCTGGGGCACCAGGACACCGGCAGTGCCTCCAGGAGCTCAAAACCCCGCGAGGACATGGACGCGGTGACGGGGCGGCAAGGGCTGAGCTGGTCTACGGTGCCTCCTCACCCCGGCCAGGGGGCTCAAGGCAGCTTCCCGAAGGGGGCGCCCGAGCTAGGCTGCGAGGATAACCGGAGCGGAGAACCCAGCGAAGCCGGCACTCCGCAAACTCGCATGCGCAAAAGCGCAGCTGGCGAACACGCGAGGGGACACCGAGGGAGGAGTTTGAAGACAAAGGATGAATTGCTGAGAAGGTGGCAATCACATAGCACAGCTTGGAGGCTCCTCGTTCTGGTGTTCCAGGGATCGCGCCCTTGGATTCTCCCATTCCTCCAGCCTTGCCAGTGAAGTAGCGGGGACCAGCTGGCGGGGAGGGGAGCCTGGTCGCTAGGCAACAAGCCCCACCTCCAGTCACAGCCTGTGTGCCCTCTCCTGGCGGCGCCCTGCCACTGCATCTGGCGTCAGAGAGTGCTGACCCACAGCCTACCCAGACTATTCTTGTGGCTGCCCGTGGACACGGTGTGGTTGCCCTTATCTTTCTGCACTTCAGTCTGGCTCATTCTACCTATTCCAGAGTCTGTACTGGATTGGCAGAGAGGGGAAAGCTTGGGAGGTGGGCAGCAGGTCCCAGTGAAGACGTCAGTAATTCGAGGAGAGATGGAGTGCCAAGCCAGCCTGTGAGGAGGGCACCAACGTGAACAGATAAGAGCCTTTAGTGTCAGTATTGTTGGCCAGCAGGGTATTCAAGGAGCACGGGTTGGGTTTCTTAGAAGACTTCAGGGTGCAGGGGTCCCCCAACTCAGGAGAGCAGTTAACCGTGGGCACTTCACAGAATAAGAAAGGGTAGTTACAGACAGACAACTTGGGGTCACACCAGAAGAAGGCAAGGCTCCCAACCCCAAGCCAGTGAAGTATAGCACTGGAGCAAGCACCTGCCTCACTTGGTCTTTTCTACCCTGCTGGGTACACCAAGGCTTTAAGAAAGATGTTGGGTGGATTGTGGGATGACAGACTCAAAGCTCTTAGGAATCCTCCCAACTTCCTGGACTCCACTCAACAGTGATCCTACAGCAGAAAGCAAAATTCTCCCCTCCCACACAAACCCCACAGCCTAAGCAAGCTTCTTTTCCTTTCCTTGGTCTGGAAGAGTGTTGTCCAGGTGCTCACTAAAGACTGTCTCCTATGTCTGTGCTGATCAGAAATGAGAAAATAGCTTATACTGATTAATGCAGCCTGGCTGGAATCTTTCAAAATGTAGTCTAAACTGTGTAATGAAATACTGGCCCAGCTGTACTTTGCTGTGCTACAGGTCAGGAGTCCTCTTAAGACAGAGTGAGTGAGGCTAAGTGGGAAGACTGACAGTTCAGTTCTTGGGTCAGTCTAGTCCAGACTCCCTGCAGCATTAGGCCAGGCTGAAGTCAGTGCTGACCTGCAGGCCTCAGACCTTCAAGTGCCTGCTTTTGCCCCAGAGAGCACTTTGTAAAACAGTAACTGAAAGCCTCCCACAGTGGTACCTGTTTTACCTTCCGCAAGGTAGACACAGGCCCCTGGTCTGCACCATCACACTGGTTTTGAGAGAACAGACTATCACTTCTCAGTGACACTCCTGCACCTGTCCTAGGACTTAGAAAAGTGCCTGTACACCAACAAAGCAGCATGTGGCCAGCCTGCTCTCCTGGGTACCTGTGCTTTCCTCACCCTGGGATCCTTCACTCCAGCTCCCTCCTGACTTCTGCACCTATGGGGAGTGATCACCTCTTCTTCACCTCACTTCCTCTGACCATGCCATAGCCCCTCCATCTCTGTTTCTGGCCTAGTGCCACTGGACTAGATGCCATACTTCTCAAGGGCAGAGCTAGACATTACCAGATCCAAATCCAGCTGAAGACAGGCTCTTTTTTTTCCTTCAGAACTGGATATTGAACCTAGGACCTCAGGTTAGGCAAGCACTCTAGCACTGAATTGTATGCATCTTCATTCTGAGTCCTGGGATGCCTCTTTAAATGAAGGAACAAATGTAAGAGAAGGAAGCAGCCCAGGAGCCTAAAATAGCAGAATGGGATCAAGTTGTTTTTAAAAACCATGTCCCTCTGTAGATACCATAAAAGGAGCTAGAGTAGGGAAACTTTAAAAAAAATCTTGACATTTCGTGTGCCTATATCTGATTTCCTTAAAGTTTCCATAGCTTAAAATCGTGATATAGTTGGGAGCCTGGAGAATCTCAATTTTGAGGCCAGCCTAGGACACTTATTGAGAGCCTGTCTCAGAATCCACTCCCCAAATCATGACTATAGTAATAGAGAATCTAGCTTGCCTCTGACCATCCCAATTGACACCTAAATTCAAGGGTAGGGAAGGTAGACCTGGAAGACTTACAGATACTGAACCCAGTGCCCCAGAATCCTTCACCCAGGTCCCTGCCTGCCTAACAGCCTTCCATGAGGATTAAAGTGAAAAGCTCTCCACAAAGATTCCTTGCTTAGTTTATTCAACAGTCAACTGTCCTTAGAGAAGAATCTGCCAGTGCCACAGGTGATTCACTGTGCTGTTCTATGCTCTGAGAACTACTTTAGTGCCTATGAGCTTCCTACTATAAAAACATCTGATAATGAAACAAACAGACTTTTTTAAACCAGAAAGGATGCTTATCATGGCTTGAGCTACATGGAGAAGCCAATGTGGTCCAGTGGTTTAACAGCTGGAGAAGGGTTAGAGGCAGTGGCTGGCCAAAGGCGGGGTGCTGCAGAACCTGCTGTCAACACCCCAGTCCTGGCTGCTGGCACAAGCCACCTGCATGTGCTGGGAGTCTTGATGTTTGTGGTACCCAGCCCCAAGAATCAGGCAAAGGCGACAGAAGGCTGAAATGGATAGTGCCTTCTGTCTTGAGTGGAGCCTGAGGAAATCAAAGGCCGTCTCGAGGGGTGAATCCCATAAGCGGCATGACCCAGGATGGTTAAATTCATTTCTAAACACGTGCTTCACCAGCTCCCACTCTTCAAAGCACTGGCCCTTCCAGGCACTTTCTTCTTCCATGTCCCACCTCAACCCCAATGCAAGATCCAGAGAACCTTGAAAACACCTTCCTCCTCCTATCTTGAAATGTTGAATTATCTGCCATCTTATAGCTATGAATATCCTTCCTCCCTATACAACACGAACACAGGAGAGAAAATCATTACTGTCGTAGACCCTCCCCCCAGCAGCCTACAAGGTGGCCTGCAGCTTAGTTGGACTGCTCCCGAGAAAAGAGCTGGCTGGGCTCAGTGGGCACCTCTGCATCTGTGTTCTGATTATCTGTGAAGGACAAAGAAGATAAATGGATTTAGAAAGAGGGCGAATCACCTGTTGTCAGGTGAAGATTTTTCTACAAGGTTGTCTCATTGTCCCCAGACATACCCATTCTTACCCCTCCCACCTACTCTACCTTCGTTTGCTGGGCAGGAGACTAGCATTCTAACTCTGGCCACATGGAACAGACTTGAGTCCCCTGTTCAGCCCAGCTCCTCATAGCTGATTTTGCCCGGCTCTGAACCTCAGCTTGCCAATCTGCAATGATGCCATAGGCGGAGCAATAAGGGACAGCTAACTTTACAAATGCGTTGGTGGCTTCTGGCTATAGTTTGTCTTCAGAGGAGCCTTGTGAGGTAGAGATCAGTATTAGTCCACTTAAGCAGGAGCTGGAATCGAGGTACTGAGGGGAGAATGTGCTTATCTAAGGTCTCAGGGTCAGTAAGGGTAAGAGCCAGGACTCATGCCCAGGCTACCAGCACCAGCCAGCACTATACCACCCACAAATCAAGTAAATGTGCCACAGGCCTCAGTTTCCTTGTCAGTAAAATCAGGATGACAGCGCCAGACTCAGCCAGCTTGTTAGATGGTTTTCATACTTGTATTAAAGATCTCCTTGAATTTACCAGCCTTTTCCAAATCACTTAGAAAGCCTTAGAAACTTCAAAGCCTCACAAAAGAAACCCCAAAATAGATACAATTTTTAAAAGGACTGGTGCGATGACTTAGCAAGTAGACACTTGTGATGACCTGAGTTGATCTCTGGATCCCACAAGGTGGCAGGAGAGAACTAACTCCTTAGAGTTGTCCTCTGACCCTCACATGTGCACACAAAATAAATACATACATAAAAATTAATTTTTAAAAAGAAAGAAATCCTAGGATCTGGTGAGACAGCTCCAATGATAAAGTGATTGCTTTGCAAGGCTGAGAAACTGAGTTTGATCCCCAGCACCTACGACAAGCATGGTGGTACATGACTGTAATCCCAGCGCTGGGGTGGTGGGGATGGGGGATCCCTAGGGCCTGCTGGCTAGCCAATCTAGTCTAACTGGTGAACTCCAGGTCAGTAACAGTGAGATACCCCTCCGAGGAGGTAGACAGTGTTCCTGAGGATGACACCCAAGGCTGCTGTCTTCTCACCTCCACACACATGTGCATATATATATATATGCATATCCATATATATGGATACACACACATATGCAATGTGTACATGCATTAAAATTTTCTTTAATTTGGAAAAAATCTCAAAGTGTTTACATATCTCAGAGGACAGCTGACCCTTACACTACCCTTGTGAGGGGAACCTTACAGATGGGAAGCCTGAGGTCTCCCAGGCAGCTGTGCAGAACTGTCAGACAGGCTCTCTAGCCCGTGTAGCAGGGTTGGGAGGGTGATAACGGGGGATCCAGAGTGGCTTCTGCTGTGACTGTAGAACCCACCACGATTTAACACAAAAAGGCCGGAAGCCTCTGGCCTACCAAACATACTGTGAGCCCACGTCCCACACACTTATGCCTACAGTGCTGCTAAGGTGAAAGAGTTAGCCCAGCACTTGAAGTCTAGATGAAAAATCCTTCAAATACCATTCCAACCCCCTTAGGTGCATGCTTATAGACAAGAGAGATCAGCCCAGGGCAGTTTAAATTCGGTGCCCTTCTCTCCACCCCCACTTCAGATGACTCATCTTCCTCTAGAAAGTCTTTCTAGTTTATCTGGAAGCAGGAAGATCGGTGGTCTCTTACCAGTATTCTCCTTGTCGGTTTCATGCAGGATGGTCAGTGAGGAAGCTGGTGGTGATGGTGGTGGCGGGGGATGCGGCGGAAAGAGGTAGCCTGGTGGGAGGATCTGAGGCTGCTGTGGCTGTGGTGGAGGTGGCAGTGGTGGCAGTGGTAGCGGTGGTGGCAGCGGGGGCAGCGACAGTGATGCCAGCAGTGGTGGTGGCGGTGGTGGAGGTGGAGGTGGTGAGTAATGTCTTGGCCGGAAGTCTATGCCTGATTCTGACACCTGCATGGACACACAGCAGGAAGGGCTGAGAGGGGGCCAGTGAGCTCGGTGGGCTGATCAAACACATCTTTGATTCCTTCAAATGGGGGTTTCCCATGGGGCAGTGCATCTCTGTGGCCCAAGACACCAGATACTTAGAACAAGGTGTTCAATAAACACCAGCAACATGATTGAAGTCAAGAAGGAATACAAGCCTATCTCAGATGAGCCTGGGGACACACCTACCTCATTTTGAGGCCAGGACACCTCCGCAGGGTGCTAGGCTGGGAGGACATGAAGACTGCTCCCTAGGCCTCCCACTAGGGAAGAGGAGATTAGAGGAAGCAGAGTAGCAGGAAGGCAGGGAAAAGGGTAAAGAAGAGGATGTCCCTGCAGAGTGTCTCAAGTGTCCCAAGGACAGCAGTTTGTGGGTGAAAATAATTCGTAGGCTCTTAGGTTTGAAACAGCCTCCCAAATACAGGTCTGAGGCAGATGTGATGAGAGTGGTAGGGTAATCAGCTCTCTAAACTCTCAGTCAAGTCTCTCCCTGGAACACAGCCCCTGCCTGGGACCTGAATGGCAGCTTGGGCCCAAATAACCAACTGAAATCACACTCCACAAAAGTGTCTGGCAGGCCTGTCAGTCAGAGCCCTGTCCCGGACGCCAGGCTCAAGCTTCTGTGTTGAGCAGACGGTGTGGTGCTGGCTCCAGTTGGCCACAGTGCCGCTCTTTGTGTGGAGGCTGGTGGTTCCGACTCTCCTGGGCTACAGTAAGTGACTGAAGTGAGTACCCGTATCTTTCAGGCTGCCCAGCAGTGTCATGAGAATCAAGAGTCAAGTTTGTTCTACCTCTGTCTGAGACATACAACAGCTCAAAGCAGGGCACCCTCGTTCCACACTAACCAGCCAAGTGCTCTGAACCTTAGGTCTCAAACAGGAGTCCTGTGACTTCGGTGCTCAGCAAAGGCCCTTATAGCAGTTACATTCCACAAAGTCAAGGCTCATGGTCTTTGTGGGCTCCCAGAGCCTTCTGGCTCCCAACTCTGAAAAGCAAACTCCACAAACCAGGCCCAGTGGTCTCAAGTGTCCTAAGGGCCACTATATATAGGTGAAAATAACTCATAGGTTCTTAGATTTGAAACAGCATTCCAAATACAGATGTGGTGCAGACATGATGGGGGAGTGTTCTGCATGTGTACTCCTAGAGATACTCCACCTGTGACAACTGGCCTTCTGGGACTGAGGACCAATGAAAGCAGTAAGAGAAGCTGAGATAAGGAAGAATCTGAAAGGGAGCCAGGGCTGGGACTTACCAAGTCTCTTCCATGGTAGGGGCTGCAGGAGACAGGCCGGAAGCCCCTTTGTGAGGGCATCCGCAGGGCTGAGGATGCATCCTGGTAGTCCAGTGGGAACGGCTGATAGCAGGGCGCAGTGCAACAGGTAGGGCACTGCATGGCAGGCTCTCTCTCAGGATACCTAGCCCTCATGTGATCAGAGTTGAATCTCAGAGGATACCCTGAGAAGACAAACAATGAAGGAATCATTAAAAACAGCTCAGCTGGGCATGGTGGTGCTCAGTCATTGCCTGGTGGTCCCACAGACCCCTACACTCTGCTTCAACTTCTGTTCCTGCAGGCCTGGTATGTGTTGAGAAGCATTTCACAGACAGCTTCCGAGGCACTCACTCGTGCAGCATCTCACACCCATTTTTTACCTCACTGCCCTGAAGTGCTTCAGTCCCGCCCCACTGCTCTTCCACCCATCTCAAGGCCTTTGCAGATGCTGTTCCCTCAGCTTGCCTTTTACTATCAACCTCACTCTACCCTGGAGTCCTCAGTACAGAAAGTTCCTGACTTATAATGGTTCTACTTAATGCTCGCTTAACTTTATGTTGGTGCAAAAGTGATATGTACTCAATAGAAACCATACTCAGTTTTAACTGGGGTGATGTCCAGTGATATATTGTCTGAAGATGCTAGGCCAGCATAGAAACTATAGCTGTCATCCAGCCAGGTCATCACCAGGGAAAACTGACACCACACTACAGTGGACTGTGTTACAAAGCTAGGATGTGCAGTCAGCTATGAGTAGTAAATACATATTCAACCTAGGATATCTTCAACTTAACAATGGGTTTATCAGAATGTGACTCTATTTTAAAAAATATTTTATTATTTTTATTTATATTTATTTTATGTGTATGAGTGTATTGCCTGCATGTATGTAAGTGCACCCACGTCATGCAATGCCCAAGGAGGTCAGAAGAAGGCACTAGATTCCCTGGAACTGGAGTTACAGACAGTTGTTAGCTGCTATATGGGTGCTGGGAATCAAAACCAGGTCCCCTGCAAGAGCAGCCAATGCTCTTAACCACTAAGCCATTTCTCCAGTCCATAACTCTATTTTAAATCAAGAGCATCTTGATTAGGATTACAGCCCATTATTAGACCTCTATACTTTAAATAGTATGATTATTTGAAGACATTATCTTCCCATAATAACATGATCCCAGAAGGCAAAGGAGGTGTCAGTTACCTGTCACTGCGACAAATACGTGAGGCAGTTTAAAAAAGGAATGATTTATTTGGGCTCACAGTTTGGGCACATGGTTGCTGGCTCCATTGTGTATGGGCCATGGTCAGGCAGAACATCCTGGTGGAAGGGTATGTACGTGGAGCAAAGCTGCTCCCTTCATTTCATCCACCAAACATCAAGGGAAAGGAGCTTTCCCTTTTATATTTATCCTATCCATGCCTCTAGGCAATGAGATGGTGCCACCCACATTCAGGGCCTATCCAATCCCTACACCATGCCCTCTTAGTAAATTTCCTCTAGAAGTGGCTTTACAGATCATCCAGAGGTGTGTTTCATTCATCTGTGCAATTCTCAATCCAATCAAATTGTCAATCAAGGGTAGCCATCACAGAGGCTGGTGAGATGGCTCAGCACATATGCTGCCAACCTGCCAACCTGAGTTTGATTTCTGATCTCCCGTGTGTGCTGTCCTATATGCACGCACACTCATATGCACACTTTGCCAACCTGCCAACCTGAGTTTGATTTCTGCGACCTATGTGGTAAAAGGAGAACCATTCATGCAAGTTGCCCTCTGATCTCCCGTGTGTGCTGTCCTATATGCACGCACACTCATATGCACACTAATAAATTTTTAATAAATTATTAGCCACGGGAGATTCTTTTCTCCCCACCTCTTATACTACTGGGGTCTAGCACATCTTAAGCTTCTGTTTGTTGAAAGGTGGAACAAAGAGAAACACTTCTGCATACTTGGGAAGGTAGTACTGTCCTAGAATCGCTGTTTTAGGTCTATCTTCCCCATCAAGCAGCTACTTCCTTAGGGACACAGGTTTCCTCACCAACTCCCAGAAAGCAGAAATGACAGCAGACCATTGGGACCAATTTCCTTAGTGTAAAGACAGGAAGAATCTTGTCCAAGATTACAGCGAGCAGCCTACTGACTCAGACCTATGCCCTTTCTACATTGTCAGAGGCAAAGTACCAAAAATATGTCTGCACCCCCAAAGCCAGGCTTTTCTTAAAGCCTGGAAATCTACGTTACTTGAAGTTGTACTTTAAGCCTGAAAAGCAACACAACATAAGAAACAATGTAATTTATGCACAAAGCAAAAAGAGAAAAAAGCAACATCTCAGTAGAACAACTGTTCCCTCGGGCCAACAAGTTGGTGCTTTATGACCCACCACATCCAGTGAAAAGGAGGGAAAGAGAGAACAGGTGCATCATGTCAGTACGCTGCAGAGAAAAGCCTCTAACTCTGCAAATGGCTGGGAGGGTGAACAGGCACAGTCCCGCTGAGCCAATCACCTACACAAGTAAATTCAGGAAGTCTTCAGCAGGAGAAAATGGCGCGTAGGGGCACGCAGGCGCAGAGGGCCAGACTTGTGGGCGAAGAGGGGGCGGTGACTGGGAAGGAGTAATGGGAGGGGGTGGTGACGGGGATGATGGGGGGTGAGGTGGATGATGAGGGGGGCAGGGCACGTTGCTGCTCCAAAGGCGGGAAGCAACATACAAGCCCACAAGAACTGGTCTTTCCAAGTCCCTGTGGGGGCGCCACTAACAGTTTCTAAGGCGCCATTTTTTTCACTCAGAAAAATGAAAAGGCAAAAAACCGCATCCCAATGTAAAAGCCCCCCACCATCCATTCTTTCCCAGCTACCTTTTTCACTGTTGTAAAAAGCCACCCTACCCAAATCCCTGTTTTGAGTAAGGTTTCTCAAAGCAAGACTGCTTGGGGAGGGCATTTTCCCAAAGCAGCAGAGCTGACCTGGGATGCTTAGAAGCCAGCATGCCGCGGGACCCGCGGGCACCGTGGGACTGTGCGGAGACCGGGGGACAGTGGGCAGGACCAAGCCGCAGGTTGGGGCTTACCGAAGTCGGAGAACGGCGGTCTGGGCACTGGCCGCAGTGGCAGGTGCAGCTCCGGGCAGCGGGGCTCGGTCCTCGGGGCCTCCGGGCTGAGCTGCGGCAGCCACACCGAGGGTCGTTCACTCAGAACCGGCTGGAAGGTACTGGGTCTAGGGCAGGCGCGTGGCTGGAGAGCGCTCAGGCCTGGGCTGCAGACCAGCGCGGGCTTCCTAGCAGCAGCGGGGCCCAACCCTGCACCTCCAGAAGCCACCAGGGGCGGCGGGCAAAGGTCTGAGCTGGGGGCGGCAGCCATGCCTGGAGCCCCAGGAGCCAGCTGCCTGCCCAGGGCCGCCTCCTGCTCCTTGGCAGCATCTTGTTTATTGAGCATCTTCTGTGCAGCCATGATCTTCTGGCGCTGGGAAATCAGGTAGCACTTATCGCAGATGCACTGTTTCCAGCGGCACTTGCCTGCATGGCCCTTGACCGGCACCAGGAAGCCATGGTTCCTGCACCTTGAGCACTTGGGAGTGCAAAGCATCTTGTCGTCCAGCTTGGCAGGCTCTGCTTACACACACAACCACCTCCTCTGGAAGCTGCAGGGCAAGTGAAGCAGGAATGAGTGGTGACCCACAAGTCTGTGGTGCAGGGGACATCTAGATACATTTGTATGGTTACAAGCGGGCGACTGACCCGGAAGCTGCAACAGGCTCTTGCATTTTCCTTCCTTCTAGGGGTACAAAATTTGGAGCGTTTCTGAGTGTTGAGTGCAATACGTTCAAAACGGAATGTGTATTGCATGTACGTCATCTTCGGCACTTGTCCAAACTTTGTATTCCCGCCAATCTGAAGCTGGAAAATATTTTGTATATTTAAAATAGGGGAAAAGGCAGACTGATACTCAACGGTCAACAGTTCAGTTTTAAAAATTCCCGAGGAAGCTCTTAGTAAACCCCTTCCATAGAAAAACTTTGGAGGAGGCCAGTGATTTTTCCTCTCCCCAAAGCTGCCCCTTCGGCTTCATGTCATTTCTCCCACTGCAGAGGAGGAGCCATTCTCAGTTGTGCTTCTAGAATATTCTGAGGAGCTTAGGGCAAAGTGATGGCTGCTCACAGGTGTGCCCTTGCAGAAATTCTTATTTCTTAAGTTTTGTTTAGTATCAGGGTGCACTTCTGGGGTGCTCTTCTGAAAAATGGGGTATTCTTGCTGGCGTCCTCCAAAGTAAAGCATACCTGATGTTCTAAAAGTAGAAATGGGGCATTTTGGCACTAGTTTGGATCACTGGGTTTTTGGTTTGGGGTGGGCACCCAACTTTGCTGTGTAATCCCACTAGAAAGAAAAAATAAATAAATAAATGAATAAATAAATAATTTTAAAAGGCAGCACAACAAAACCCCAGAAAACCCATAAAAAACAAAAATCTAATAACCAAAAACCACACAGCCCCTGCCACTTTTTAAAAACATTATGGCTCATGGTTTAAAAGAAGTAGTATCTCTGGTGTTTTTCAAATGTTTTTGAAACTTAAAAAAAATGGATCGTGCTTTAAAATAGAAATAGCCTGTCTCGGATCAGACCGGGTCAGGTCGTGTTGACACTATCAGAACTGAAAATGACCACGAAAGTGTACGTACAAAGCACGTTCACTGCACAGTGAGGGTTTAGCGAAGCTCCCCTAATCTTTAAGCTCCAGCCATTTGATCGTGAGCGGGAAGGAGTTGCACTGGATATGTGGAAGCATTAACTGTGTCTCTGTAGGATCCACCCAGGCTGTGGGCACAGCCTCCATCCCGATCAGCTGCTGCAGCAGTAGTCTTGGGCTTCCGTCAAAACCCCTCTGGAACTCCGGGCCCCTGGGGCCTTGGTCCCCAGCTACGAGCCCACGCAGCTCTGGAGGAGCCCAGGAGGGCAGAGGTCCTGTAACCGGTTGGGACGCCAGCAGATTTGCCAGCCTGGGCGACTCAGATTTGTGCAGATCTGCACCTTCAGTTTGTAGTGTTCTGGGCATCCATGTTCTGGAAAGTGACAAGTCCAAACCCCCAAGATCACTGTCTTTTATGACCACCACTTAAGGGATCACCATACTTTGAGAAGACTTGCTTCAGAGACCCTGATGTGGAGCTCAGTGAATCTGGCAGGTCGTTGACTAACAGTGAGTCCCATGAATCTGAAGTGATTTGGTTGGTTTGGTTTGTGCTGGGAATGGAACCCAGAGCCTCATGCATGCTACCCAAGTTTTGTTGTGGCTGATGATCTTGTTTTGTTGTCTTTTGTTTGGGGGTTTTGCTTTCTTCCTTCTGTCAGTTCGGCCTGTCCATCCCTTGTTCTTTCTGAGTAAAGTCTAGCCAAGCTTCATGCTTTCAGGCTTCCCTGAAACTGGATAGCTCAGACAGGCCCTGAACTCGAGATCCCCTGCCTTTAGGCTCCTGAGTCACTGTGATTATAAGCAGGCCAGCTACAAATTTTACAGTATAATCAGGGACATTAACTTATTCATAATCTTCTTAAAAATAAAAATCAGTGATAACACTGAGGCACAGGGTCATCTGAAGAGAAAAAGGGAGGTCACTAATACCTAAGCTGAAAAGCTTATAGTAGGATCAGTTATATATAAGGAGCTATTAGTGATTAATATCTTGCTAGCAGACATGCAGTTTTTGTTTTGTTTTGTTTTGTTTTGAAGACAGAGTCTCCCTGTAGTCCCAGTTGGCCTGGAACTCACTATGTAGGCTGGGCTGGCCTCAGTCTCAGAAAGATCTGCCTGCCCCTGCCTCCTGAGTGCTGATACTGAAGGTGTACACCACCATGCCCAGCACATGTGCAGTTTTTATCACCCTGCTTTGAAACCTTTCTGGTGACAGAATGGTAGAAGCCCAAGTACCTTGATTTTCCCGAGTCTCTGATGGCAATTCTCTGGGGTGTTTCTGCCCAGCTGCCTGGAAACAGAGAATGTTGCCATTCTGAGGCTCATTAACCCCCCCAGAGAGCTGAATAGATGTTCATAAAGTCTTTGCCCACTTAAAAAATAATCCTTAGGCAACGTGGTGGCGCACGCCTTTAATACTAACATTTGGGAGGCAGAGGCAGGCAGATCTCTGAGTTCCAGGCCTGGTCTACATAATGAGATCTAGGCCAGTCAGTGCTACAAAATGAGACCCTGTCTCCAAAAAAAAAAAGTACAAATGAACAAACAAAAAAAGAAAATCCTTATCTTAGTAAGAAAGCAAAGTCATGGTCATGTTCCGCATTGTTTGATACTTCAGGAAATTTTGCTGGTAGCTGGCACTGTTGAAAGATGTCTAGGTTTGTCCCTGCCTGGCCCCAATACCTTTTATGTTCATTTCAGATTTTAAAAACCAGCCCCTAAGATAAAGGATAGGCATGCTTTCTCCAGCACCACCCAGTTCTAACAGTCTGACCTTGTCATTTGAAAACAGTACCTCCCGGTCATAGTTTTAGGGGCTCTGGTCGCCAGAGCTGAGCAACAATGGGTTCTATGACCATGCATCCTCCAACAGATTGTGGGCCTGTCAGACAAAAAGAAGTTTTGGGGTACCCCAAGTGCTGGCTACAGAGGTGATCTGTTGGCTTTTTATGCTGTGTCTCTAGGATTAGCTGCTGGAGAAAGCCAGGTATCAAAGCTGCCTTCCAAACCAAGGCAAGTTAGCATCATGTGGGTGCTGGGAACTAAACCAGATCTTCTACAAAAGCAGCCAGTGCTTTCAACCACTGAGCCATCTCTCTAACAACCCCTACCCACTGTGGATTGGATATTTTGAATGGGTTTTTGAAGGGAGGAAATGCTTATCATAATACTTAACAGAAAATTTTCAGCTATTATGACAAAAAATAAGCATTCCAAGAGCCTTTTAAAAATCATAGTATCAGCTGGGCGTGGTGGCAGATGCCTTTAGTCCCAGCACTTGGGAGGCAGAGCCAGGTGGATCTATGTGAGTGAGTTCATGGCCAGCCTGGTCTACATAGTGAGTTCCAGGCCAGCTGGCTACAGGGAAGGGAGACCCTGTCTCAGAGAGACCAAACAAACAAAAAACAAAAAAACAAAAACAAACAAACAAACAAAAACCATAGTATCAACAGTGCAGTCAGACATTCTGGAGGAAGGGCTGGGGATGTAGCTCAGTGGTACAATAAGTGCTTGCCTAGTGTATGTGAGGCCCTGGGTTCAGTTCCCTACACCAAAAAGAAAAAAGATTATATATTAAATATATTAAAATCTTTAAGCTGGGTGTAATGGCAGAGGCAGGAGAATTGCTGCAAGTTCCAGACTAGCCTGGTCTACATAGAAAATTCCAGGCTAGCCAGAGCTGTATAGCAAGACCCTGGTTCATGACTCCCCCCATCCCCCAACACACACACACACACACAATCTAAGGCATAAACTGCATTATTTCACAGTTTCACAATACTAAAAATTGCAAGGCTAATTTTTGCATCATCAAATTTAGGTATGGACATCAGGTAACATTTGGATAATAAGGCCTAGAAGCCTACTTGTTCACATTTCATGCATGACCACCCAAGCTCTCTTCATTTCCTCATTAATAATTTAAATAAAATCCTGTTCAAAGCAAACTTTTGAGTTAACATATTTTAGTCTTGTTAAATACAAAATGTGTCCATGTTCACTTCACAGGTGTAGGGGCAAAATATACCCAAGGCGCTGGGAGTTTGCCTAGTGCTTTGAGAATACTAATAAACAACCATATATTTTTTAAATCAATAGTCACATTATAAGATGCAGAAATCTCAGGGTTATAGAATAAACAAATCTCCGAAGAAGTTTGTTTCTCTCTTCTCCCTCCCCAAAGTCTCAATTTGTGTAGATAAATTTCAACAGAGCTTTATTTATTTTACTCTTGGAAATTTGGGCATATTGATAGCTTTGTGTTATTTAGGTTGAGGACCGATTACTTCTAAGACTGCTGCTTTTTAAGAGAAATAAATATAGTACATTTCTTTAAATTGCTATTCAAGAA